CCGAGTGTTCACTTAACCAACCAAACGCCAGGTGTGTTTGTATCGGTTCAATAAACCAATCAAATCACTTTATTTCCATTCGTTAGTTGTTCTGTTTTGTTCGCACTTTTTCATTTCAAGGTCATACGAAAATCACTCTAAATGCATATGCTTGCCAGTATGAGGGTACCAAAGTGGGAACAGGGGGTACAAATCCCGTTTTCCACTCAGACTAAATGTTTACAGATCCAAGTGTCCAATGAAGGTTATTGTTAAGTTCAAAATCTAGCTTTGTAGATCCTTGCAGTTAAACTTAGCTGACATCTAGAAAAGTTGAATATTTACATGAGACTACCAATTTTTGTGTTCAGAGTTAAATTAATCTTGAATTTTGAAATTTCTGCTACTTTGCCTTATCACTAGTAAAGCTAATAAATAAATAAATTATCATACATTTTAATAGCATTGCAAGTGAATATTTGAAATAATTTCATAACAGTCTTCCTTGTAAATTATTCCATGCTTTCACAACCTGTTTTTGCGTGAATTCTGGCTCCCACAAGGTGCAAATGGCAACATTTGCTTCCCTAATTCTTTCCTCGTTGCCTATTTGTGACTTAATTCTGTTCATTGCTTGTTCTTCAGAGATACCATCTCTGTCGAGAATCCGTGAGACTGCTTCACTTTCGGGGACAAATGTAACCCAAACTTCATCAGTTTCCTTGTCCCAGCCAGCTTCCAAGAGAACTGCGGCATCCAGGACACAAACATTAAAGCCTTCTTTTCCATAACGAGCAATTTCTGTTTTAGCCTGCATCAATATCTCAGGCCACACTATTTGATTAAGCAATGCTAACTTTGCCTTGTCGGCAAACACAATTGCACCAAGCGCTCTTCTGTTTATGGTTTGTTCAGGGGTGAGAATGCTTGATCCAAAATTATCAATTATTTCCTTGTAAGCCTTTTTTCCAGGTGTATAAGCTTGGTGTCCAAGCTGGTCGCAGCTTATTATCGCAGCACCTAGATCTTTCAGTCTCTGACAGACTGCAGATTTTCCGCTCGCAATCCCTCCAGTTAGACCGATGACATATGGCTGATTATTTCCTTTCTCTTTTCTGACAACAGGTTTTAAAAGTGTTCCTAAGAGTTTTTGACGTTCCATAGAGGAGCTCATCTTTTCTTCCCCTTGATGGCGTTTTCCTTTTAGAACTTCAATACTGTTGTCCACGACTACATCAACAACATGTACATCCAGCAGATCTAAGCCTTTTTTCTCTCTGACATCATTAACAAAGAACCCTCCCTTCTCTGTTTCCTTACTGACAATTAAGCACTGGTACTCTGGAACTGTTCCTGCTGGCCCCACAGGGTCCTTGAGTATCATGATGTCCTGTTTAAGGCCTAAAAATGCAAACCATTGATAAACAGGGGTTCTGATAATATGAGATGGTGTAATTTTAAACAATAACAATAATATTAATAATAATATTCATATTTAATAATGATATTTATTATTTTATATAGTATTTAAACTATACACATATTCTAAGGCACTGATAAAAGCTGACAAACACTAATACATAACAAACAGTACACTTAGAGAAAATAAAAATAAAACACTGCAATGACTGTACATGAATTGGTTCACTAGGCAAATGCCAAATGAAATAAAAAGGTCTTTAGAGCCTGCTTGAAACCCTGATGACTCCAGGTACTCATGATAGCTAAAGGAACTAGAGTTCCACAGTGAGGGGCCAACATGAGTGAAGTCCTTGTCCCCAATTGCTCCATGCAAGAAATCTCATTCCTTATTATTTCAATAGATACTTTAAAAGAAACAAAAAATAAAAAGTAGGTTGCCCTTTAAGTAAGTTGTTGTTGAAATTTTACTAAGTCAAAGCAATCCCCTAACCTGTGTTCACGCGGCGCGCGCGCCGGGGCAGTGGAAGTCCCCCTACCCCCGGGGACTAGAAGGCAAAATAAAAGGGGGCCCATTTTGTTAATGAAAGGAAGGGGTTTGGCCCTCGGAAACTCGGGATTGGCCCCCCCCAGATAAAATTTTGTCAAGGGGTCCCCCCCCCCCACCCCCACCTTTCCTTTCGGGGTCTTAAGGGTCTTTCTGCAGGTACTGTCATAACAAAAGAAATAAAGGAACTAAAAAATAAGTTCCTCTGGCCCTGGGGGCTTCATTGTTTGGTTGTATTGTTTCTTTATTTGCATCCGATCTGCACCTTAGTACCTAAAGAAGAAGCCCTCCTGAGCATTGTGTGACAACTGTAAAAATGGTTGTGTGACTTTTTACTTTCCCGTGACAACCATTTTTGAATCATCTGACTGTGGGCACTTTGAACAAATTAATCTATTGTTGACCACCAGTTCTTTGTCACATTCTCTTTTAATGACCATCAACTCTTTGTTACATTCCTTCTTAATGACCAGCATTAAATTTCTCCTTAAATATCACTGCTTATTAATCATGAAGGTTATGAGCGTCGTGAAAAAAAAATCAGCCTAGAATAAAAAAAAAATATCTTACAAAAAGTCTCTCTCCCTTTGACTCCTTTTTAGTGGCCAAAGAAAATATTCACAACAAAATTCATATTATTTTCTCTTTGTGAAATCCCTACAAATAAATAGTTGTATAAAAACGCTGAACTAAAGTGGGTTCATCTAAATGATAAATGGCGATCTGTCCAAGAGTTGAAACGTTAGAGCAAAACCTCTCAATAACTTGGTTGCCCTTGGAGTGAGCAGGCCAAAGCATCTCCTGACACATTTGTGAAAACTACCCTATAATAATATGTAGCATGAAAGCGGAGATGATTTTTGCAGGACAGAAAGTTAAGAATCATAACCGGTGCTGACATTAATTTTTCAGTTTTACTGGGAATTAATTTTGCTTCCATCATTGTTTGCTCAATCGTTTGCTTTAAATACTAAAAGAGGAAGCTTTCATTTCTACAATGCAACTGGTTCCCAATTTTTCCAGTTAAATTTGCTTAGGACACTGAAATAGCCTGTTTAGCTGGAGACTTCATGGTTTTGCCTGGTGCTGGCACTCCTGTCTCCCCAAAAAACCACCAGCATAAGCAGGTTATATAAAGACAGAATAAGATCAATCGATAAACTTGGACGTGATCGGTAACTGGGCGATACATGAACAGTAAGAGCTGCTACATAGTTTGTTTGAATCAGAATAGGACTAAAACAATAAAGAATTCCAGAGCATGAGCTATTAGAGCTTTTTTTATGAACTTGAAAAACGGTTTCAGTAAGTGTTCGTTTTCCCGCCAAAGAAAACCCTAATATGGAGAAGGCACTGTGCGATTGGCTAATTGTGTTGCAGTATGACGTCAGAGAGAAGTATCGACAGGTTTGCTTCTAGAATTAAGTTCAAGGGCATGAAGTTTTTTCAACCGAGTGTTCACTTAACCAACCAAACGCCAGGTGTGTTTGTATCGGTTCAATAAACCAATCAAATCACTTTATTTCCATTCGTTAGTTGTTCTGTTTTGTTCGCACTTTTTCATTTCAAGGTCATACGAAAATCACTCTAAATGCATATGCTTGCCAGTATGAGGGTACCAAAGTGGGAACAGGGGGTACAAATCCCGTTTTCCACTCAGACTAAATGTTTACAGATCCAAGTGTCCAATGAAGGTTATTGTTAAGTTCAAAATCTAGCTTTGTAGATCCTTGCAGTTAAACTTAGCTGACATCTAGAAAAGTTGAATATTTACATGAGACTACCAATTTTTGTGTTCAGAGTTAAATTAATCTTGAATTTTGAAATTTCTGCTACTTTGCCTTATCACTAGTAAAGCTAATAAATAAATAAATTATCATACATTTTAATAGCATTGCAAGTGAATATTTGAAATAATTTCATAACAGTCTTCCTTGTAAATTATTCCATGCTTTCACAACCTGTTTTTGCGTGAATTCTGGCTCCCACAAGGTGCAAATGGCAACATTTGCTTCCCTAATTCTTTCCTCGTTGCCTATTTGTGACTTAATTCTGTTCATTGCTTGTTCTTCAGAGATACCATCTCTGTCGAGAATCCGTGAGACTGCTTCACTTTCGGGGACAAATGTAACCCAAACTTCATCAGTTTCCTTGTCCCAGCCAGCTTCCAAGAGAACTGCGGCATCCAGGACACAAACATTAAAGCCTTCTTTTCCATAACGAGCAATTTCTGTTTTAGCCTGCATCAATATCTCAGGCCACACTATTTGATTAAGCAATGCTAACTTTGCCTTGTCGGCAAACACAATTGCACCAAGCGCTCTTCTGTTTATGGTTTGTTCAGGGGTGAGAATGCTTGATCCAAAATTATCAATTATTTCCTTGTAAGCCTTTTTTCCAGGTGTATAAGCTTGGTGTCCAAGCTGGTCGCAGCTTATTATCGCAGCACCTAGATCTTTCAGTCTCTGACAGACTGCAGATTTTCCGCTCGCAATCCCTCCAGTTAGACCGATGACATATGGCTGATTATTTCCTTTCTCTTTTCTGACAACAGGTTTTAAAAGTGTTCCTAAGAGTTTTTGACGTTCCATAGAGGAGCTCATCTTTTCTTCCCCTTGATGGCGTTTTCCTTTTAGAACTTCAATACTGTTGTCCACGACTACATCAACAACATGTACATCCAGCAGATCTAAGCCTTTTTTCTCTCTGACATCATTAACAAAGAACCCTCCCTTCTCTGTTTCCTTACTGACAATTAAGCACTGGTACTCTGGAACTGTTCCTGCTGGCCCCACAGGGTCCTTGAGTATCATGATGTCCTGTTTAAGGCCTAAAAATGCAAACCATTGATAAACAGGGGTTCTGATAATATGAGATGGTGTAATTTTAAACAATAACAATAATATTAATAATAATATTCATATTTAATAATGATATTTATTATTTTATATAGTATTTAAACTATACACATATTCTAAGGCACTGATAAAAGCTGACAAACACTAATACATAACAAACAGTACACTTAGAGAAAATAAAAATAAAACACTGCAATGACTGTACATGAATTGGTTCACTAGGCAAATGCCAAATGAAATAAAAAGGTCTTTAGAGCCTGCTTGAAACCCTGATGACTCCAGGTACTCATGATAGCTAAAGGAACTAGAGTTCCACAGTGAGGGGCCAACATGAGTGAAGTCCTTGTCCCCAATTGCTCCATGCAAGAAATCTCATTCCTTATTATTTCAATAGATACTTTAAAAGAAACAAAAAATAAAAAGTAGGTTGCCCTTTAAGTAAGTTGTTGTTGAAATTTTACTAAGTCAAAGCAATCCCCTAACCTGTGTTCAGGCCTTTTTTTATTTCTTTTTAAGAAGAGAGGAGAAAAAGAAATATAAGAAGAGAAATATCACAGGTTTACCAACTATCCTTTTTACTTTATCTTAAGAAAACATTATTGACCTGCTGGGCAAAATTATTACGAGCAACAAGAGGAGGACTAAAACCTTTTAATCTCCAGGCTGAGAACATGTGAATCATGCACATGCATTTGAACTTTCTATCTTTCATAATACCATTGGTCACTTGCATTCAAACTTATGCAAAGGCCTAGTAATGGAGCAAGAATGTTTTGACCTTGGATCAGAAGCCTTAAACTTCCCTGCACTTCCTGTTAAAACCTTTGGTTATTGCTAGTTACTAACAGATGTTAGCATGAGGGCTTGCTCCAGGATATCAAACAGCACTTTTGCTGCATGCAGGTATTATTGATCTTGGCTTGTGATATCAGTGGACAATACCCTGTTCAATCTGAATGATCCTTTGCAACATACCAGCCACATACAAGAATGATACTGTTACTGTGAAACTCAGAAACCCATGAGCAGCTGAAAATTTTCAGGAGTGTTGATTGTGTGGTGACCAGTCACAATAAAATTCAGGACACGCCTCATTGCCTTTTTCCTTTCAACACAATAACATTACATAATTTATATTTCTGGTCTTCACGGTTTTATGAGTATCATAGTAAATACACTGTAGATGTATAACCACACCATGATAGAGATTATTTTGATCATTCAAAGACATAGAAACAGGCTTTTCTCGACTTACTACCTGTGAACTACAGTCAAAAGTTCCAGAAACAACCACCCAAAGTCGAAGACTTAATGGTCACTTACTGAAGGTGGTCATTTAGAAGAATCCAACCACAGGGTGTCTCTCCCAAGTGGTCCAGACATGTCTTCTGTACAGAAGATAATTAACAATTATTCCACAAGGGCGTGTTGGATATGAGATGCTAGATAGCCAACGAGGCGCGTAGCGCCGAGTTGGCTATAATCATCTCACATCCAAGAAGCGTGAGTGGAATAATTGTTTTATTAAAAACGCCCACAAAATCTCGTTGAATCTACCCGACTAGAACAAACCGGAAAAGACAAGGGACTTCCGCTATTCACATGTCACACGTCTATCAAAACTGTCAACGCACGAACGGACTCGCCTGGACTGCATGAATGAAAAATCAAAACATTGTAGCGTGAACATTAGTTTTTTAAAAACTCATCGGGATTCTAGGATTTTACAAAGCAGAACAGCTAAAAAAAACCTGGCAGATAATGGGAAGGAAAAGAATTAGTGACAGCCGTCGAAATTACTGTGAATTTGGATTTTTGGTGCAGTTATAAAAGTAAGAACAACAGAGAAAAACTATTACCTCGGTCGCTTGTTATGAAGTTGTTTGAAGCCACAAGCTGGTTTTGCTGAACGAGAAAAGAAGCTATACTGCCGCCTTGATTGCTCTAGTGAATGGCTGCATAGCCTGTATTTGTAGCTGGTTACTTGTGATTTATATTCTTGATGNGCAATTAATGTCATGCAGTTTCATGCAAGTTACAATATGTGTATTTCCATGTTGCCACTGAAAATTCTTCATATAGATGTAGTCCAAGTAGCATGGTGCACACTCAGTGAACCTAGAGATGAGACCATGCGGTGGTTGCTTACAGTAGGTGGTCTTTTATGGGAGGTTTCAATTATAGTGCTTTGACTGGGAAAATTTTGGTGTTTTGAACAGGTGGTTGCTTGGAGGTGGACACTTAAGAGATGTGGTCGCAAATGTAGTCTGGACTGTATCATACCATATTTCCTCGAATAATAGCCACCCCTCGATTTACTGCCTTCTTCAAAATCTCCCCCCTTTGATGGAAATATTATTTTAAAATAATCACCTCCCTCGATTAATCGCCCCCCACCGCTCCCGCTATCTTCATCCAGTTAAAAAGCCCATATTCAGTTTATTTCATGTGACTATTTTTTGATTCAATGAGATAATCAAACAAAATATTTAGGGCACAACTTCCAGTGAGCAATATTTGAAATAGTCGCCTCGGCCTCGAATAATCGCCTTTCCTTGAATGATCGCTCCCTTTTGGTCCGAAAAAATCTATAATCGCCCCCGGCTATTACTCGAGGAAATAAGATGCAAGTAGCACGTTGGTCAGCCAATCTGAATGTTGGTTTAGTGATGTAATTTGAAACACGATGAAAGAAATGAAAGACATACCTGGCTTAACGTCATTCAAAAAGTCTTGCAATTTCTTCCTCCTCTCTTGGAAAGGCTCGATTAGTTCCTTCAAAAACTTTCTTTGAAGAAGAGGCCCATCGCTGAGGCCAATCGTAATTCTTTCTTCGCAAAGCAAGGAAGCTACAGCTAGAAGTAATCGATGGCCAGAGTGAATGTGATCGAATGTTCCCCCAAGAACGACCTCATTGTAGGTCTGCAAAGCATCATTTTGTGGATTTTCTGGCCCACAAGTTTTGTTGATTAAGTTACTATCCGTCGCCTCGTCTTCGACCTTTAAATACTTCACTTTTTTCTCCAAATCGGATAACTGAAAACGTCGGGTCAGCCACTTCTTGAACTCCAGGAGGCCAACCTGTGAACTTGACTGCCCTGTTTTACAGAAAATATCTCGCACAAGTGCGACCTCAGGTCTCTTTCCAAGATATCTAACTTCATCAAGGTTACCGTCTGTTTTTGCCAACGCGGAAGGAAGCAGAAATCGGACGTCCAAATGGCCAATTCTCGAGGAATTTTTGCTGTAAACATCGACGAGTAGGTCGTACAAATTGCGAAGATGGAGGCACACGTAATCAGGTTGATAAATGTCAACGTACAATACCTCTTTGACTTCTTTCGATGCTTGCTTCAGAAGGGCTGGTATTTTAGTTCTGAGGCAAGAAGGAGACAAGACTAATAACCCATAACGAACCATATTGTTTTCGCGATTGTTTCGTAATTCTTTTCTGAAAGGGAAGAGATCGATGTGATGTAATGTGATGCAATCACTCGCGACGGAGAGACTGGTTCGAGTTCGATCCGGAGCTACGAAGAGCCACGAACAGTCGACACTTTCCGGCAATCATCGTAAATAAATCTCAATCCTTGATTGAACATTCGCTTTGAAGTCGCGAAAATTGTGATTAAACTTTGCCTCACAGACAGATCTCTGCTTAAGTTTCAGATGGGGCGAAAAGTGACTCTTGCGGCTTGCACGTTAAATCAATGGGCCTTGGATTTTGAAGGCAACTTGAAACGCATCCTTCAGAGTATAAATCTTGCCAGAGCACATGGTGCAACATACAGGCTTGGACCAGAGCTGGAAATCCCTGGTTACGGTTGCAACGATCATTTCTTGGAAAGCGACACGCTACTACATTCTTTTCAAGTTCTTTCTGTGTTGCTAAAATCGCCAGTAGCCAAGGACATCATCTGCGATGTTGGAATGCCCATAATGCACAGGAATGTTCGCTACAACTGCAGAGTTATTTTTCTCAATGGAAAAATACTTTTGATCCGTCCGAAAATGACACTTGCTAACGATGCTAACTATAGGGAGGGTCGTTGGTTTACAAAGTGGAACAAGGTGTGTACTGTCAATAGAGATCAGAGATATTTCCAGTCCGCTGTAATGGTGTTTCCCACATTTTCCACTATCTGGAATGGGTACTTTGATGGGTGGTGTGGGGAGTAGCCTATCCACCGGCTAAACCATTATCCAGTAGATATTTTGTGGTAAGCATTATCAAAGCATTTGAAAAAATGAGGATCCAGGGGTTGGGAGGGGGGCATTGAAGTCCCACATCCCTGCAACTGCCCCCTCCCCCACCCCCAAGAAAAGAAGACTTACTAGGAGGAGTACATGTATCTTCAGCCTAGTCACTATTCCCCCTCCCCTTTGATCAATATTCTGCCATCCCTGGAATTTTACTAACATAAGAGCACTGGTTAGCTAGCCTGCATCATAGACAAACTCTAAATGTGGCAAGTAATGTCTGCAAAGCAACCCCAAGATAATTGTTCAAAATGATAGAAAGACAAGCCTTATTGGGGGATGACTGTGTTAGTGGTAGTCCTTAATTTTTGCAAGGCTACGAGGAAGGCGTTGGAACCACTTTCATGAAACTTATCATAAAATAATACAGTTGATAGACATTTTTCATCATATTATTTTAGGGTCATTGAGTTTCATTCATGAGGGTCCTGGGACCAGGACCCTCATGGGATGTTCCCCAAATCTACCATTCCAATTTTTCTCTTACCATCTCCTCTTTTATTCAATGGAGAGCAGGGTCACAGACTACTTTGGGGTTTGCTAGAAGCACTATAAATCCCCAACATACATTTGGCCTTGTCTGCAAGCCGCTACATCAATCCTTGTTGTGGGTCCCCAGCTGGGTAGGAGGACTTAAGTACAGACCTTGGTTGGCCTCTTAATGAAGCTATTATCCAATAGCCAATCAATCTGAGAAATTTGAAAATAATGTATACCATGTCGGGTAATTTGTTCAGTCTGTTGGATGCCCAGAACATGAATCTCAGGGCTGCTTTGCAAACTTTACTAGGCAAGACCTGTTAGTTTACATCTGCGTCACAGGCTAAAACATAATGTTCCTGCTACTCTGTTGGTGTGCAGCAACAAACACAGACTGCAGATGCACAAACTGGCAGGTAAACGAGGTAAACATTGTCACTATCCCTTAACTTTAAGTCTTCAGAAATTCCTGTTTAGGGATAGGGAATCTGTTAGAGCATTTCACCAAAATGTTTACCTCATTTACCTGCCAGTCTGTGAGTCTTTGTTTGCCGCACACCACTACTCTGTTGTCTGACCAAAGCCTTTCTTTTGCTTTTTCGATTTCTGTCTAGCCAAAGCAAACTGAAGAGTACTTTCTCCCTCGTATGATAGCAGAAATAACTGGCCAGGACACTGTTCCATTTGGAGATGGTGTTATCTCCACTCTGGATACTTGTGTTGGTTCAGAAATCTGCGAGGAGCTGTTTAGTGTAGATGGTCCGCATATTAGTATGGCATTGGATGGTGTGGAAATCATTACTAATGCAAGTGGAAGCCATCATCAACTAAGGAAACTTAATACTAGGGTGGATTATGTAACAGATGCAACAACAAAGGTGAAATACAAATCTCTGAACTTACAAACTACAAACCTTTTTAAGTACAAAAGTGTTGAATAACCTAAAGAATAAAACTATGACTTACAAACTATTAGACTTCTGATCTGCAGCTTATGAAGTTTGACTAGCTGATATGTGGTGCCATTCTCAGGGTCTTTCTTCTTCCCATCCCAGGATGAGGACAAATAAAATTCATCATTTGGCCTTCCTACACACATCCAACAATACAGTTCCTTCATGTAAAGTAGCTGAAAATATTGTCTCTAGCAGGAGCTTTAAAAGCACATAAAAGAAAAGTATGATTCTCAACCTGGGAGATTAATTGGTGTAATGGTTATAATGTTGAGGACTTGGGGAATGGAGATGGAATTGCAGGGTTTAAACCAAATAGAACAGAGCGCTGTGTTTAATACTGTAACATATTTTTCTTCATGTTAGATTAGATTGATAATATAATAAGTTTGTCTTTTGCAAAGTCACCCTATTAATAAATAACAATTATTCGCCGAAGTGGAGGTGGCTAGTGATGGATATTTACCGAAGCCGCGTTAGCGGCGAGGTAAATATCCATCACTAGCAACCGACACTGAGGTGAATAATTGTTTTAGTATATACTAAAACAGTGAGATAATTGAGCCCAAAATGATGATTTTTAACTGATTTACTGTTGCCTGCAACGATTACAATTTTGGCGCGCAATGACCGAACGGCCACTGTCATCGCTTTTTCTTGCCAGCAAATAAAACTTTTGAAGGCATTTGTACGTTCAGCTCTTGCGGGGAAATTTCCTCAAAAGGAGTTGTGAATTCCTTTTGTATTTAAAATCATTCTGAAAAAAGGATTATTAGGTTAAGTTTTAAGCTTATTTTTGAACAAGACAACTAAAAAAAGTAACGCAAGACTTAAACTTAATTTGCATTTGTAAACAACAAAACTTTTTCGCCAGTTTTATCGATAAATTCAAGTCAAAAAGACAAAGCTTTACCTGTGAAAACTTCCACCCCGAGCTTCGTCACTTTCTTCGTGTATTTCGGAAACAGCTTGCTTGATTAGTTGTGAAATTTCTTTGTTTGTTACAGCAGCAAACCGGGAAGGCATTTTGAAACTTACGCGACTTTGGCGTCTCTCGCTCGGAGGAACTGGAGGTGAATCAGTGAATAGTGCAGGATATTCACTGATTGAGTAGCCAATCAGAGCGCGCGAAAAACACTATCCACTGTTTTAGTATATACTAAAGATTATTCAAAGATATCTCACAGTGGTTAACAAAAATTAAACATGTACATTTGCTGGTCAAAGCATTTGTTTGTAGAAATTATATTGCCATCACTGACGTCAAACTGAACATTAGCGCTCTTTACTTTTCTTAATACTCTGTAGGCTGGTGGCATTTATATATATGCAAATATGAGAGGCTGCGATGGAGAAAGAGTTTACTATGATGGATGCTCAATGATTGCTGTCAATGGTCATGTTGTTGCACAGGGTGCACAGTTTTCATTGCAGGAGGTAGAAGTTGTCACGGCGACAATCGACTTGGAAGAAGTGCGCTCTCATAGAGGCTCCACACCAACATTTGGTTCAAGTGCAACAGCTTATACTAAGAGCTATCCGCGCATCAAGGTGGACTTTGCATTGAGTCATGGAGATGACATATCCATCCCTTCAGCAGACCCAATAGAGGTTCAGTACCACTCGCCTGAAGAGGAGATAAGTCTTGGTCCAGCTTGTTGGTTATGGGACTATCTCAGGAGGAGTGGTCAGGCAGGCTTTTTTTTACCACTCAGTGGAGGTATGTCATTTGCAGTGGTGGGTCGAGACCTTCAGATATGTGGGGCCCGGTGATCATCCAGACCCTGAGATAAGTGAGGAAGGGCGGGGGCGGGGGGATTGCTCGTCTCCAAAAAAAATTTTTTTGGCCCTTTCACGCCTCAGTTTGGTCATGAAATAAGAGGGGGGATGGGCACCCGGGCCTCTCCCCTGAATCTACCACTGATTTGAATGTTGTTGGTTAGATGTGTTGTGGATCAATTTGCCATCTTGCCCATTCAATAAAAATTACCAGAAACCAATAGTATTGCTTTATGGATATTAGCATTATTTTTTGTTGTTTTTGTGTTGTCTGAACCTCAACTTTGTCTCAAACCATAAAAAAGCCAAATGAGAACTTACCAATACAGTCAACTTTCTCCAAGATGGACATCTTTGGGATGGGAACTATATGTCTGCCATAGTGAGATGTCCATCCTTAACCCTTTGAGTCCCAATAGTGACTAACGTCAATTTTCTCCTAACGATATCCATACAATGTCAAGCAATTAGGTTATGAGAATTCATAAAATGATCACCTAAGGGAAAATGCCCTGATCTTTTCTCAAATTGTCTCAACTCATTCATGAAGGAAATGTATGGAGATCAGTTTGGAGAATTTGTATGTGGATATTGGGGCTTAAAGGGTTAAGCGAGTCAACTAAAAGAACTAAAGAAAGGCAGGGACCAACTCTTGGTGTCCATTTTAGCAAAGTGTCCGTCTTATAGAGGTGTCCATTAAGAGAGAACTGCCTGCAGTGATATTCAACCATATTGACCACTTGGACAATAATGCATAATGTCTTCTTGATGTAGGAATCGACAGCTCATCAACAGCTTGTATTGTCAGTTCCATGTGCCACCTAGTTTGCCTTGCTGTAAAGAATGGTGATCAACAGGTGTTAGAAGACTGCCGCAGGATCATCAATGACAAGTGAGTTTACCCTTTTATGACCTAAAGCAGCCACTCACTAATGAGTTCCTGTGTTAATGCGCGGCACTTTATTTCACTGTCAATAAATTTAGCACGAAAGCACTAATTGGGGACACTATATTTTTACCTCTCCTCCTGGAGACTGGACCGCCATTTTACACTTTATTTGAATGACTGTCAATGTATTTAACATAAAAGCACTAATAGACCAGTTTCGAATTAAAAATTACTGCTGAATACAAACATTAATGACACATTCATACAGGGTTAGCCTCGACGTAACGTAACATATTCCGGCAAGTAAGTGTTTGAAATTTGAATATACACAATAGACAGAGCAATAAACAGGTCTTTTTCTCATTGGAATTTGTGAATATATTTACTTCAGATGGAGGCTAAGCCTGTAAAAAATGTGTCTTCACTTCTTTAATTCAGCGGTCATAGCGAACTCGAAACTAGACTATTGGGGACACTGTTTTTACCTCTCCTCCCGGAGACGGAACCACCATTTTACGTGCTCATCCCAGCCACGCGAAGTTCTAGCCATTTGCAAGGGTAAAGGCAGCACTTTCATTCCTCAGTCATTTTAAGACCATGAGTGTTGGGCCGGTCCCGGGAATTGACTTGCGACCTCCCTCTCTGCAGTCAAGCACTCTACCAACTGAGCTAATCTTGTTGCAGTGAATTTGGAGTTATTGTAGTGGTAGTTAGGTCAGTTTATGAGATCACCCTCTGGTGTTATCTTACCACTGTTTCTTTTAAGCGAGAACATTGCTCCGCATTCTCTCTCTCTTGTCAAGCCTGGGACCAGCCCTTACTTCCCCTCTCTTCCCCCAAAACGTACAGCCTGTTGACAAGCTATCTTTAACCTGGTGTACTTATCCCCACTGACATCTTACTGCTTGTACCATCATAGAGAGGCACTGCTATGTTATTAGGGGGCTTAAAGGTGATGTTACACGAGACGATTGGCAACGACGATTTTTAGCGTAACACAGCGTTGCAATGTTGGAACAGTGTTGTAACTATTCCAAACAATGTCGCAACAATGTTGCAACGCTCTGTTGCGCTAATACTCGTCGTTGCGAATCGTCTCGTGTAACATCACCTTAAGCAACAACGACGGCAACGAGAAAGGCAAAAAAGCAATAGGTTTAGATTAGCAAATAACAACTTTGCATGTGCATCAGGCCTTTTTGTACATTTCTTTGCCGCCACTGCACGACTACGACGTGAAAATGCCGAAATTCACGTTTTGTGCGGCAGAACGTGAACGCAAGACAATGACTTTCTCTTTTTTTCCTGAAGTTCGATACAGTCTTTTAGAATTCAGCTCTCAAAAAAAATGCCAACATTTGACGAATTGAACGAGATGGGATAAGTGCAATAAAGTTTGAAGCAGGGCGAATTAAGTTTTTAAGTGACGTTTTTGTAGCCGTTGCCGTCGTCGCTGCCCTGGTTCTCATAGGC